ACAAATTCCAACTACTCCGTTATGGAAAACTGGAGGAGATAATAACTAGAACAGAGTATACTACTGACTCCGGCCATACAATAGAGCGGAAAAATAATGTAAGGGACCTGGGAGTAGTAATGTCTGAGGATCTCACTTTCAAGGATCACAACAGTGCCACGATCGCACGTGCAAAGAAATGATAGGATGGATAATGAGAACTTTCAAAACGAGAGATGCCAAGCCCATGATGATCCTTTTCAAATCACTTGTTCTCTCTAGGCTGGAATACTGCTGTACATTAACATCTCCATACAAAGCAGGTGAAATCGCAGATCTAGAGAGTGTACAGAGATCCTTTACTGCACGTATAAGTTCTGTCAAGCACCTTAACTACTGGGAACGCTTGGAAGCACTTGACTTGTACTCGTTGGAACGCAGGATGGGAGAGATATATCATAATCTACACTTGGAAAATCTTGGAAGGAATGGTCCCAAATCTGCACACAGAAATCACTCCCTACGAAAGTAAAAAAACTGGGCAGGCGATGCAAAATGCCGCCAATAAAAAGTAGGGGCGCCATTGGTACACTAAGAGAAAACACCATAAGTGTCCGGGGCCCAAAACTGTTCAACAGCCTCCCATCAAGCATTAGGGGAATTGCCAATAAACCCCTGGCTGCCTTCAAGAGAGAGCTGGACAGATACCTAAAGTCAGTGCCGGATCAGCCGGGCTGTGGCTCGTACGTTGGACTGCGTGCGGCCAGCAGTAACAGCCTAGTTGATCAGGCCCTGATCCATCGGGAGGCCTGGTCATGGACCGGGCCGCGGGGACGTTGATCCCCGGAATAACCTCCAGGTAACCCCTGCTGTGTGTACTCAAGCATATAGCCACCATAACCCACACTCCCCCCTAGTATACAATGTCTTCACTCACCCCTGCTGTGTGTACTCACTTATATGTGGTTGAAGGGGTCGAGTCATAGTTCCTGGCCCCGCCTTCTCGGTGATCACTACTAGGTCCACCCTCTCCCTGCTCCATTAGCTTTATCATACCTCTTCTTAAAGCTGTGTATGGATCCCGCCTCCACTACTTCACTCACCAGATTGCTCCACTTCCTGACAACTCTGTGGCTGAAGAAATACTTCCTAACATCCCTGTGATTCATCTGAGTCTTCAACTTCCAGTTGTGTCCCCATGTTGCTGTGTCCCATCTCTGGAATATTCTGTCCCTATCCACCGTGTTAATTCCTCTCAGTATTTTATATGTCTTTATCATGTCCCCCCTATCTCTCCTGTCCTCCAGTGTCGTCAGGTTGATTTCCCTTAACCTCTCCTCGTAGGACATGCCCCTTAGCTCCGGGTCTAGTCTTGTAATAATGTTGGTAGAATTACCGACAATATGTAAAGTAAACGGACACAAGTGTAACTAATGTGACATTTATATTGTGGCAACGTTTCGCTCTCCAGGAGCTTTGTCAAGCCGTCTTGTTGCAAGCCTTTGCATTTTTCCTAATTTCTTGACGTCCTTGATCAGGTGTGGGTTCCATACTGGTGCTGCATACTCCAATATGGGCCTAACGTACAGTGTACAGAGTCTTGAACCATTCCTTACTCAGGTGTTGAAATGTTAATGTTAGATTTGCTAGACCTTCATATGCTGCAACAGTTATTAGGCTGATGTGCGCCTCAGATGTGCTCGGTATTATACTCACCCCATGATCCTTTTCTTTCAGTGACATTTGTAGTTTTTGGCCCCAAAGCCTGTGCTCTGTCTGCAGTCTTCTTTGACTTCCCCAATCTTCATGACTTTGCACTTGGTGGGGTTAAACTCCAGGAGCCAGTTGCTGGATCAGGCTTGCACCCCGTCCAGATCTTTTTGTAGTCCTGACTGATCCTCATCCGATTGAATTCTTCTCATTACCTTCACATCGTCTGCAAACTGGTATACCTCTGAATCTGTCCCTTCTGTCATATTCATATATACCAGAAACAGCACCGGTCCTAGGACTGACCCCTGTGGAACCCCGCTCGTCACAGCCGCCCACTTTGACACCTCGTCACGTACCATCATTAGTTGTTTCCTTCCTGTCAGGTATTCTTTGTGTTTCCTGTTATTCATGCCTGCTCCTCTAGCTTTTGCACTAATCCCTTGTGCGGAACTGTGTCGAAAGCCTTCTTGCAGTCCAAGAAAATGCAGTCTACCCACCTTTCTCTCTCCTGCCTTACCTTTGTCACCTTGTCTTAAAACTCCAGTAGGTTTGTGACACAGGATTCTCCCTCTCTGAAACCGTGCTGGTTATCGTGTATAAGCTCATTCCTTTCTAGGTGCTTCACCAGTCTTTTCCTGATAATCTTCTCAATGACTTAGATACTAAACATGTCAGTGACACTGGTCTGTAGTCTGCGTGTCTGTCTCCTTTCTTAAAGACTGGGACTACATTTGCTGTCTTCCATACCTCAGGTAGTCGCCCTGTTTCGACTGTTAGTGGCACAATAACTGTGTGTGTGTGTGTGTGTGTGTACTCACCTATTTGTACTCACCTATTTGTGGTTGCAGGGGTCGAGTCCTAGCTCCTGGCCCCGCCTCTTCACCGGTTGCTACTAGACCCTCCCTCTCCCCGCTCCATGAGCTTTATCAAACCTCGTCTTAAAACTGTGTATGGTTCCTGCCTCCACTACGTCATTTTCTAGGCTATTCCACTGCCTTACAACTCTATGACTGAAGAAATACTTCCTACTATCTCTCTGACTCATTTGTGTCTTCAACTTCCAATTGTGGCCTCTTGTTTCTGTGTCCCCTCCCTGGAACATCCTGTCCTTGTCCACCTTGTCTATTCCACGCAGTATTTTATATGTCGTTATCATGTCTCCCCTGACCCTCCTGTCCTCCAGTGTCGTCAGGCCGATTTCCCTTAATCTTTCTTCATAGGACATTCCCCTTAGCTCTGGAACTAACCTTGTTGCAAACCTTTGTACTTTCTCTAGTTTCTTGACGTGCTTTATCAAGTGCGGGTTCCAAACAGGTGCTGCATACTCCAGTATGGGCCTGACATACACGGTGTACAGTGTCTTGAATGATTCCTTACTAAGGTGTCGGAATGGTGTTCTCAGGTTTGCCAGGCGCCCATATGCTGCAGCAGTTATCTGATTGATGTGTGCTTCCGGAGACATGCTCGGTGTTATACTCACCCCAAGATCTTTCTCCTTGAGTGAGGTTTGCAGTCTTTGGCCACCTAGCCTATACTCTGTCTGTGGTCTTCTGTGCCCTTCCCCTATCTTCATGACTTTGCATTTGGCAGGATTAAATTCGAGAAGCCATTTGCTGGACCAGGTGTCCAGTCTGTCCAGGTCTCTTTGAAGTCCTGCCTGGTCCTGCCTGTGTGTGTGTGTGTGTGTGTGTGTGTGTGTGTGTGTGTGTGTGTGTGTGTGTGTGTGTGTGTGTGTGTGTGTGTGTGTGTGTGTGTGTGTGTGTGTGTGTGTGTGCGTGTGTGTGTATGTGTACTCACCTAGTTGAGGTTGCGGGGGTCGAGTCCGAGCTCCTGGCCCCGCCTCTTCACTGATCGCTACTAGGTCACTCTCCCTGATGTGTGTTTGTGCGTGTGTGTGTGTGTGTGTGTGTATTCCTGCATTTTTCCCACCTGGTTACATACCAACAGATCACCCTCAAGAGATGTTGCTAGACGCCCACCTACACCCACACCCACGCCCACACCCACGCCCACCACTGCTCCACCCGCAGACGCACCACGCCCTAACGTATCACCATCCGTCTTCAGAACTATACCAGACAGAAGGTAAACCAACATTTAATATTTTATCAACTTTCACATTCTATTACAATGTTCAGTATCCACTGACCTTATTGTTTAGTATCCACTGACCTTATTGTTTAGTATCCACTGACCTTATTGTTTAGTATCCACTGACCTTATTGTTTAGTATCCACTGACCTTATTGTTTAGTATCCACTGACCTTATTGTTTAGTATCCACTGACCTTATTGTTTAGTATCCACTGACCTTATTGTTTAGTATCCACTGACCTTATTGTTCATTATCTAGGTTACATTATTAAGATTACTGAACTTAAACCACGCGTAGCTTTAAGAATAGGCTGAACAAATAATTAATGAGGGGCTGGATTTAGGCAGGACCTGCTAAGTATGGGCCAGCAGGCCTGCTGCAATGTTCATTTCTATTTTCGTATGTTCTGCATTGTTCACCCTATATCACCTACCTTGGTATAAAAAATTATCACCAATAGATTTGCTTTGGTTGCACTGATTCTAACAACAGTGCAAGTGTTGATCCTGACTGGTTGATGGTTCGTTACAGCCCAGGTATTGTGATTCATGTGTGTGACGAGGCCAGGGGACTACGTCAGGATTTTACCTGCCCGAGGGACTTGCTCATACATCATATAGGATACTTCGCCGATGTTACTGCAGGTACGTGAGAGCATCGGTAGGTTATCTGGAGATAATAGAAGAAGAAAGGAAGTTACAGTCTTGGAGCAGTGACTTCTGCGGGGGATGTGTGTGTAGTCTACTGTAAGAGTAGCCCACCACTCACTATAACAGTAGCCCACCACTCACTATAACATTAGCCCACCACTCACTATAACAGTAGCCCACCACTCACTATAACAGTAGCCCACCACTCACTATAACATTAGCCCACCACTCACTATAACAGTAGCCCACCACTCACTATAACAGTAGCCCACCACTCACTATAACAGTAGCCCACCACTCACTATAACAGTAGCCCATCACTCACTATAACAGTAGCCCACCACTCACTATAACAGTAGCCCACCACTCACTATAACAGTAGCCCACCACTCACTATAACAGTAGCCCACCACTCACTATAAAAGTAGCCTACCCACTACTTTTCTGAAAAAAATAAACTTTGTCGTGTTTTTCCGACAAATATAAAATTTTCTAGGCAACTAGTTTTTTTTTTAAGTTACATGTTACTTTTATCGTTTCTTGATATTGGTTTTAAAACAAAGACCCTTTCGAACACCTTAATGCTTGCTTTCGAAATATATTTAGAGGGAACTGTTGTGTGCTAATATCATTTCTTATATTATTAATACTACAATTACTGATAATATTACAAAGTGTATTACTGTGGCTTGTCAGGTCAGCGGCTGGAGGATGTAGACATCTCAGTACATTGTGATGTTAGTATCTTTGAGTGGCTCCTACGCTGGGTCAAGAGAGGTCAAACTGAGGACCATATTGCCCCTGTTCTGGGTAAGTTATGGAGACTCACTTGTCACTGTCATTAAGACTGCTGGGTCACCAACTGGAAAAGACCCGGACCGGGATAACACCGGTGAACCCACATCAGTTACTCAAAATTAAAATATTCTTCCTCACTCTGATTAAAGAACGTCCACATGTGTGGTATTTTGTAACGGGCTGGGTCTTCAGTACGGGTACACCACCAAATGTACACATACAAGAAAATGTTCTAATATGTTACGAAAAGATTTAACGACTATAGACTAAAATTTCCTGTTTATCCACACTATGAGCTGTGAGAAGCAGCAGCCTCGATACCTCCTCTGTCTCAGTCTTTGATCCCGCATCACCCCCTCCCCTGCAGCGCTGGACGACCCTAGTGGGTTTAGCACTTCTTTTTTATTATAATATCTTCATTCTTCATGACACTTTATATTCTCGTCTCTGAGGTCAGAGGATCGAGTTTCCAGCATCACACACACTTGCAGTTTTATTCGTTAAATATTTTCTCCTTTAGATCTGGTCTTAAATGGCTTTATACTAAGAGCGATTTTAACATAATCAGGTGACTCAATGTAGTTCTGTATTGGTATTTGAGTCCTGGTCACCTACTCTGGGTGATACAACATTGTTTATTCTTCTCAGTACAATATTTTCTAGCCTTTACGAAATTTGAATTAAGATATTATGGTGAGTGGTTGTTAATAATTCTGTATCCATGGTTAAATTTCACCAGCTGTATTCTAGCTTCCATTTTTATAATTTTCAGTTTTTATTGTTTATTCTGACCCACGTTCTCTTGCACCCAGATCCAGGGGGGGGGGGGAGAGGGGAAAACCTCACCAACTTATTTTAAACGGCTTATAATCAGTTTTTCAATTTATTTTTAGAGTAGAGTATTGTGACAAACAGTAGAAGTGCATATGGCACTGTAGTAGTGTACATGGCACTGTAGTAGTGCACACGGCACTGCATAAGAGCCAGATCAGGTAGACACTGTGCCTGTCCATGCAGAAATTTCATGCTCCCCTTAGCTTTTTTTTTTACTACAGTGTGAACTATCAGTCCACTTGACATTCTGGGCTCAATGGACACCACGAGACACTTCACACAAGTTATTCTTCACTTTACTATATCCTGAAACTATTTACCCGCTTCAATTTACTTTTTACACCAAACAATAAATGCCAGTGATACGGCCACACTTTCTTAGCACTTAACCATTAACCACACAACTCCAATTCCAGTGATTATACTTTAGTCGTGTCCTCTGTCTTTATAATACACTAAGAGAGTACTATCATCTGCATGTAATAACAGTTTACATTCATCAATAACGGGCATATCATTTACATATCACAAGAGTAGGGGGACCCAAGATACCTCCTTGTGGAACACCACTGTTTAATAATTAATAACTCTGGTTCCCATTCTCTATTCATGATTCTGAAAATTCGTTTTCTGTTATTCAGGTAAGATTTAAGCAAGTCTAATGAGCCTTTGCAGATAGCCTGTAGTTCATTTTTTTTACACATGTTATGGTTCACTGTGTCAAAAATGTTGTATGTGTAAGGTGACGATGCTTGTGTAAATTCGTATACCGTCTTCAGCGACTGTAGTAATAATAGCGTAGGTTTTTATATTACACCGTGACAGAGCCCAAAACAGCCGTCAGCATCCTCATCTCTGCAGACTTCCTGAAGATGGCGCCGCTGGTAGAGGAGGTGGTCAAGTACGTCCATGACAACATTAACCTCATCCTAGAGGCTCAGGTCAACCTCAACTGCCTCTCAGATGCCATACTTGCCAGGTACGCGAGGACGTCTTGCATGAACATGGGATCACTGCAGACACAATAGATTTTATCCTTATTTATGGGAAAGCGTTAGGCCCATAGGGCTCATACAGCAGCTGGGGAACAGGCGGCAATAAGGTTTGGACCATCGAAGAGGAGAGAAGCTCGGGTCGAAAACACAAGAAAAAAGAACACACTTAAGGACTCTTAACTATCGATACCAGAGGAGACTTGCCCTTACATTTACTTTAGCTTCACACTCTCTTCTACTCCTCCTGCACCTTCACTTACATTTCCCTAACATCCTCATACACACTTAAACTTTTCTTACACCCTATTTAATATCTCACTGAACATGTCTATTTCATACCTTATACTTAGCTTACACCCCAAATTAAATAGTCTTCCTGTATCCACTTACACCCACTTAATGCTTGTTCAATCCCTTTACACCCATTCAACGTTTCCTACACCCACTTACACCCCAGGTGTTCCTCAGGTTGGCACGGGTGTTCACTCACTGGGAGTTGGAGGGTTTGAGGGACCGCCGAGACAGAATCCAGAGTAAGCTCTACACCCGCTTCCTCCAGACTCTGTGTGACACAGCTCCAGCACCCTCTCGTGGCATCTACAGGACAGCAGCCACCCTCTACAGGTGAGGTACACTGTATGGCATGGCTCCAGCACCCTCCCGTGGCATCAGCTACCTTGGGTGCTAGAGAATGTCTCTCCTGATCAGAAATTTACCATGTTGAAGAAATTTGGATGTTAGGTTTTACGTGATAACTTGCGAAAGCTTTCTCTGATTGGCTTAAAATCTTCAATGCTAATATTTAACTGGGTTGGAAATCTATGCTGCATTCTGCAATGTTCCTGTTGCATGCAATGAGGTTCAAGGACCTAGGATTGTGAAATACAAGGATGCCTTTATAGGATCATGCAATGACTGAAATATATTTAGTTATTATATTTATTATTGTTATTATTATTTTAGGTGTAGTGACTGTGGGGAAATGGTGAGTCGAGCTGTGGAACGTCTGGTAACTTGCATTCCTGCCAACACGTCCATCACCACCTCCGGCCATGTTTTCTACACCCATTCCAGGTGAGCCCACTAATTTTCAAAGAAGAAAAGGTGATGTTTGATTCTTTACAGCTTTATTGGGTTACATTCCAGAAAAATCGTTGCTGTATATGATATGCGAGACTTGGAGTTGAGAATACATATGTAAAATAAGGTTATGTTCTTGGGAACATAAGTATGATTAAAATAATGCTGTAATAAACTGGAATTGAGGATCCTGGGGCAACTAAAGCATCAATATTTATCTATGTGTTGATGTTAACGTGTGTTGATGTTGACAGGGATGGAAACTGGAGCCTGACAGAGCATGTGAGGCAGCTCAAGGCAGACCTCAAGACCTGGAGGCTTGTTTACTGGAGACTCTGGGGTCAGGTGTGTATGTGGCTCCTGGCTCCAATGTCCTGTAAGGCAGGGTACCTTGATGCTGATGAAGGGCTCTTGATCAAAGGAACTGGTGCTGCTCTCCACTTCCTGGGAACAGATCTCATTACCTCCCATTCCCTAGCACTGAATAACCCCTACAGGTTTAGTGCTTCCCTATGAAAATAATAATAATATTAATAATAAAAATAGTTTGTATAAGTTCCACCTCACATTCCATATTCTCTCACTCTCACCCTGACTCATGTTCACCCTCACTCTAACTCTGGCTTACTTTTTCCCTATGCAGGTACACTTTTTGCCATGTTCAACATGTGGCGCGGTGTTCCCTGGGTGCGAGATGCGACTGTGTCGCACACACCGCCTTGATGCCTCCTCCTGTGACCTAGACATGTTCCTACCCAGTGATGTCTACCCCTGCTGCGGCGCCCGGGCCCTTAGGTTCTCTCCACTCCCCGTCAGGAACGTATGTCCACTGCACTTTAATAGTAATGTATATATATTAGGTAGAAGGTTGGTAGACAGCAACCACCCAGAGAGGTACTACCATCCTGCCCAGTGAGTGTGAAATGGAAACCTGTAATTGTTTTTACATGATGGTACGATTGCTGGTGTCTTTTTTTCTGTTTCATAAACACGTGGGATAACAGATATATCTTGCTACTTCTGTTTACACTTAGGTCACACATGTGTGTACACATGCATGTACATGTTAATATATATATCTGGGTTTTTTCTCTCTTTTCTTAATAGTTTTTGGTCTACTTTATTTCCTCTTATCTCCATGGGGAAGTGGAACAGAATTCTTCCTCCCGTAAGCCGGGAGGAAGAGGCTAGTAACCCCTTCTCCTGTAATATAGTATATATATATATATATATATATATATATATATATATATATATATATATATATATAATATATATATATATATATATATATATATATACATATACATATTGTGTGTATGTGTGTGTGTGTGTGTATGTAACTGAGTGTAAGGAGTGGAGTAGACTGGGTCCTCTGTCTGACAATGACAGATTTCTTCAGGGGTGCCAGATGAGGGACCACACTGTACAGCTGACACAGGGAGATCAAGACATATGGGGTCCCATCCCCCTGATTTACGATGACCTGCTGACCTTCCAGCTGCTCGTGTGCCTCGACCCCCCTCGTCACCTCTCGCCATCACACAAGGTAAGGAGTTACATATAATTCAGTAGTAGGTAATATGCTAAGACCTAGGAGCCTAGAAACTAGTGATGCCGTTCAATTGTAGGCTCTCTGGGGCCAGGAGATATATCTCGACCCTTTGCAAACACAACTGGGAGAGTACTATGCCACAAATGATGTTTCAGAGCGTGTTATGGGCAGGAGTGCCGCTGGTACCAACCAACAGAGGCGAGAGAAGCTTGCTGGATCGTTCCTGGCTCTCCCACTACCTCCACGGTAAGCCACTACCTCCAGGGCAAACCACTACCTCCATGGTAAGCCACTACCTCCAGGGTAAATCACTACCTCCACGGTAAGCCACTACCTCCAGGGCAAACCACTACCTCCACGGTAAGCCACTACCTCCAGGGTAAACCACTACCTCCACGGTAAGCCACTACCTCCAGGGCAAACCACTACCTCCACGGTAAGCCACTACCTCCAGGGCAAACCACTACCTCCACGGTAAGCCACTACCTCCACGGTAAGCCACTACCTCCACGGTAAGCCACTGCCTGGTCTCAGACCGGGCCGCGGGGGCGTTGAACCCTGAAACCCTCTACAGGTAAATTCCAGGTAAATCTCCAGGCAGAGGGGTATTTGTCAGGAAGGTCAGGCTGTTTCCTAGGCGCTTGTATCTACTATGGGGACCAAAACTAGGCTCTTGCATATTATAAATTAACCGAGACTACAGATTGATTCCTACATAATATTGATGATACACGTTGTTCAGCCAGGGTCGAGTGTGTTCAAGAAAAGAGTCATAATACCGTGACTGGAACAATACACAAATAAACCAGACCGCTTGCTGCTTATATTAAACAAATAATAGCAAATAAATTGTCCATTAATCTTAATTTATATTCTGAGTATCATTCACTTTTACCTGGAATTATTATACATTAAAAATCCTTTTAGTTAATCCTGATACCTTCAGTTTGGTTGAATTTTTAAAGAGGGTTTAGTCTGCAGGCACAAACGTCGGCCACAGACAGAGGTTAATAATTTAGAAAGCTTGTTTATATAGGAAATAACTGGGATATAATATTACGAGAATGTAAGCTTATTAAGGTGATAAGGTTAATATAGTAGAGAGTGGTGGACCCCGGGCTGCCTGGGCGAACACCTCCCTCCACCATTATGTATTTATTTACTACTCTTGCATTAGAGCCTACCACTGCTACAACTCATAATACCCATATCTGGGATACAGCTACTATCTGTACTGACTATTGTTACCTCTACTACTACTTATATTACCAAACCCACAGCTACAACTACTCGGTTTCAACTATTATTACTACCACTCCTGACTACAGTTACCACACCTGACTACAGTTACCACTCCTGACTACAGTTACCACACCTGACTACAGTTACCACACCTGACTACAGTTACCACTCCTGACTAAAGCTATCACTCCTGACTACAGCTACTATCACTACTAAGTCTATTACTACTACTACTACCACCCATCATAGCCCAGTTGATGAAGCACACCCTTAATTTCTTCAAGACTTAACTATGTTCCAGCATCATAATAACTGCTGGTTGAAGGTGGAAGTATCGAGGATGGATGTTACATCCCTTCACTTCCACCAACAACGCTAGTGAAGGACTTGTTCCAAATATATGGAGATACTTTTCCCACTTCTTGAATCACACTTGCTTAACTCCCATTCTCAAGGCGCTGTGTAGCCGCCTACAATTTCATGACTGCTCAGGTTTATAACTTTGCATCATCAGCAGGAGAGCGGGATCCCCACCCAGCAGGGATCCGTGTTGGCACTAGTGAAGCAGGAGTTCCTGCCACCAACAGCAACAGCACCACGGGAGCTCCCTCCGTCAGCGCCGGTGTCAGCAGTGAGAGTTCATCTGACGAGGAAGAGGGAGGGGGCCGTCCTGGACTCACCTCGCGTTTCAAAGCCACATTAATGCGTCGAGCTGCCAGGGCCAGACGCACCATAGCTTGCGAGTAAGATCAAATCTTATATCCCTATTCTATAGAGATAACTTTTAGATGACAAAGAATAAAAAATCGCTGTACTGTAAGCTGAAACAATTCAATTGTGACTTGACAATGGAAACGTCATCATGAGGTTAGTTAGTAAGCTTATTAAGGCACAGGTACACATAAGTACAATTATTATGCATAATGTAAATTACCTAGGATAACCCCTCAAGAAGTCCAAGTGATTTATTTCCATTGGGATTCTCTCCTAATTGTGAAATACAGATACAACAACAGTAACTAGAAATTTTACTGAGATAACTGGCTGGTATTCCCATACCACTGATACAGAAACACTAAGTTTTTAATTGCGTGTTACATACATAACACAGCTCATTTTTTACGAGGTCTGGAGAGCACACAGGTGTTACTGATACACATAGTAAATTAAACCCAGGATAACTCAGTCAAGTCAACGTAGTTTTTTTCTGCTTTGGTCCCTGTGTGCAAATCAAACCTGTATTTATATGCTGTAATTAGTTTTTCTTTAAGCGAACACTTTTTTTTATTATATTTGATGATGTCTTGTCAAAGGCAGCATGTACACCAAGTGGTATACACAACCGGTATATACACTGAGATGTGTATCGCTGTGTATATACACCATGAGATATATACATACTTGTATCTGTTGTTAAATAAGGCACATGTACATCTGGATATCATGAGATAAGTTTGCTTGTATACCTTTGTTCAGTGTATATACACCGAGACGTGTATATCTTTCAGTGTATATGTGAAAAATTTATCCTAATTCTTGTTTTAGGGACGAGAGTATTCTTGACTGGTGGTGACCAAGTTACGTTCATTTTAATGTCCCTTTGAGTAGTAGCTAGGTGTCCCGTAGCTCGATTGGTAGCGCACTAAATTCACACTGACATCCGGGGTCGATCTCCAGTGCGGGTAGAAACATTCGGACATGCTTAAGACACCGGCTGTCCCTGTTCACCTATCAGTAAAATAGGTACCTGGGTGTTAGTCGACTGGTGTGGGTCGCATCCTGGAACAAAACTGACCCGAAATGCTCTGCATAACAAGCGGCTTTTTATATTCAAATTCAAAGTTTATTCTCTATGAGGATTACAATGCTGAGTTTACAGAAATTTGGTTATTGTGTGGTTTACATGTAGTAAAATTGTGATTACAGAGTGTACCCCTAGAACGCTTAGCATGGCTAGGCATTTCGGGCAGACTTAGTTTTATTCTTAATTGTAAAATATTACAAATTATGAGGTAAGTTGGTATTATGGCTAAGTGACTAAATACTAGTTTGTGAGTTTAGCAATGTGAATGCTTTTGTTTTGGCACAGTACATAGTTTCAGTATTGGAGTATCACAGGATTCATTATTTTAAGATTGAGATTAATATTTCTGTTTATGGTCAAATGGGTGAGTGAGTGTAAGTGTGAACCACCAGGTGGTATTCGTGTAGTTAGTTGATGGGGTGTATCAGGGAGATAAGATGTTTTCTAATGGTAGTTTTGAAGGTGATGAATGTGTCTGCAGTTCTAGAGTTTTCAGGTAGGGTGTTCCAGATTTTAGGGCCTTTGACATACATTGAATTTTTGTAAAGGTTTAGTCGGACATGGGGAATGTCGTAGAGATGTTTGTGTCTGGTGTTATGCCTGGTGGTATGTCAGCTAGGCCTGTACACCTTGTACATGTAGAAACAAAGATAATATTATGAACCAATCGTTTGAGGTTACTGAAACACACCATGGTAAATTTATTTAGGCACAGGTACGCATAGGTACAATTATCATACATAGTGTAAAATACTTAGGATAATCCAAAAGTCAAGGTGACTTATTTCCACTGACATTATGATTTATTCTTTTGCTACTGGGACGTAGCAAATCTTCTGAATTGAAACTTCAGTCCTCAAGGAAGTATGTCATAGCATTTCATGAGGTGCTAAACCCTTGTGGGTCATTAAGCAGTATAGTTACCTGGTGTATACTTACCACAGGATGATGGCTGAGCCGAGTTTGCGCTGGGACGCAGGAAGATCTACACGTCACAACCAGGACACTCAGAGGGAAAGGGAGAGCCGCGCCCTACGAGATCTCACCTCTTGGCTCACCCTCGCCGCCCCTAACACCCATGACACCGCCCACGGCACCCATAAGGGCCACCGTGGGCGTCCAGACCGCCGTAGGGAGTGTGCTAGCGGTCCTGATTCCGGCTGCTACTACAGGCTGGAGGCAGAGTTTCGGGAACGTCATGGGGGTCACTCTCACAGCCACAGTGGTGGGGGAGGGACCTTCCGTGCTAAAGTGCAGGCTATCTCCAGGATAAAGATGAGACTGAGGCATCGTGCTGCTTTCTCAGCCTCCCGCTAGCACTTAGTAAATGTTTTTACCTCATGTAGGAAGTGTTTACGTCATGAGTTATTTACTCTTTGTTTCACTTGCTCAAATATCATGTGTATTTGCTGTGACTGCCCAGGTGTTAAATACACATTTTTCAATTGCTCAACCATTGTGTATTTGTGTATAGGAAATGAGCCTATAATAAATGCTAAATAATAATTTACACTAGACCTCATCTTCACTAACAATGATGATCTGATAAGAAATATCACCATATCAAAAACAATATACTCAGATCACAACATAATTGAGGTTCAGTCATGTATGCGCGGAGCCCCAGACCGACATAATGAGATTAGTCACGAGGGAGCATTCACCAAATTCAACTTCAATAACAAAAACATAAAGTGGGACCAAGTAAACCAAGTCCTAACCGATATAAGCTGGGAAGATATACTAAGCAACACAGACCCCAACTTATGCCTAGAACAGATTAACTTGGTGGCACTCGATGTATGCACAAGGCTTATTCCTCTAAGAAAAAGGAGGAGTAGATGTAAAACAGAAAGAGACAGGCGCTCCCTTTACAGGCGACGGAAAAGAATAACAGAGCGGCTAAAAGAGGTCAATATATCTGAAATGCGTAGGGAGACACTGGTCAGAGAAATAGCAAGCATCGAACTTAAGCTAAAAGAATCCTTTAGGAGTCAGGAATCGCGGGAAGAACTAAAAGCCATAAATGAAATCGAAAGAAACCCAAAGTATTTCTTCTCCTATGCCAAATCAAAATCGAGAACAACGTCCAGTATTGGGCCCCTACTTAAACAAGATGGGTCCTACACAGATGACAGCAAGGAAATGAGTGAGCTACTCAAGTCCCAATATGACTCAGTTTTTAGCAAGCCGCTAACCAGACTGAGAGTCGAAGATCAAAATGAATTTTTTATGAGAGAGCCACAAAATTTGATTAACACAAGCCTATCCGATGTTATCCTGACGCCAAATGACTTCGAACAGGCGATAAATGACATGCCCATGCACTCTGCCCCAGGGCCAGACTCATGGAACTCTGTGTTCATCAAGAACTGCAAGAAGCCCCTATCACGAGCCTTTTCCATCCTATGGAGAGGGAGCATGGACACGGGGGTCGTCCCACAGTTACTAAAAACAACAGACATAGCCCACTCCACAAAGGGGGCAGTAAAGCAACAGCAAAGAACTACAGACCAATAGCACTAGCATCCCATATCATAAAAATCTTTGAAAGGGTCCTAAGAAGCAAGATCACCACGCATCTAGAAACCCATCAGTTACACAACCAGGGCAACATGGGTTTAGAACAGGTCGCTCCTGTCTGTCTCAACTATTGGACCACTACGACAAGGTCCTAAATGCACTAGAAGACAAAAAGAATGCAGATGTAATATATACAGACTTTGCAAAAGCCTTCGACAAGTGTGACCATGGCGTAATAGCGCACAAAATGCGTGCTAAAGGAATAACAGGAAAAGTCGGTCGATGGATCTATAATTTCCTCACTAACAGAACACAGAGAGTAGTCATCAACAGAGTAAAGTCCGAGGCAGCTACGGTGAAAAGCTCTGTTCCACAAGGCACAGTACTCGCTCCCATCTTGTTCCTCATCCTTATATCCGACATAGACAAGGATGTCAGCCACAGCACCGTGTCTTCCTTTGCAGATGACACCCGAATCTGCATGACAGTGTCTTCCATTGCAGACACTGCAAAGCTCCAGGCAGACATCAACCAAATCTTTCAGTGGGCTGCAGAAAACAATATGAAGTTCAACGATGAGAAATTTCAATTACTCAGATATGGTAAACATGAGGAAATTAAATCTTCATCAGAGTACAAAACAAATTCTGGCCACAAAATAGAGCGAAACACCAACGTCAAAGACCTAGGGAGGCCAAGCCCATGATGACACTCTTCAGGTCACTTGTTCTATCTAGGCTGGAATATTGCTGCACACTAACAGCACCTTTCAAGGCAGGTGAAATTGCCGACCTAGAAAATGTACAGAGAACTTTCACGGCGCGCATAACGGAGATAAAACACCTCAATTATTGGGAGCGCTTGAGGTTCCTAAACCTGTATTCCCTGGAACGCAGGAGGGAGAGATACATGATTATATACACCTGGAAAATCCTAGAGGGACTAGTACCGAACTTGCACACGAAAATCACTCACTACGAAAGCAAAAGACTTGGCAGACGATGCACCATCCCCCCAATGAAAAGCAGGGGTGTCACTAGCACGTTAAGAGACCATACAATAAGTGTCAGGGGCCCGAGACTGTTCAACTGCCTCCCAGCACACATAAGGGGGATTACCAACAGACCCCTGGCAGTCTTCAAGCTGGCACTGGACAAGCACCTAAAGTCAGTTCCGGATCAGCCGGGCTGTGGCTCGTACGTTGGTTTGCGTGCAGCCAGCAGCAACAGCCTGGTTGATCAGGCTCTGATCCACCAGGAGGCCTGGTCTCAGACCGGGCCGCGGGGGCGTTGACCCCCGGAACTCTCTCCAGGTAAACTCCAGGTAATAGGCTTATATAAACAAAGACTAAAGAAGTTATAAATACAGGCTAGCATATGGGCCTATAAATAAAAACTGAAGAATAAGTATGAATACAGGCTAGCATATGAGCCTATAAACAAAAACTCAGAAATGAGTCTATGCAGGCTAGCAAATGAGCCTATAAACAAAAGCTCAGAAATGAGTCTATGCAGGCTAGCAAATGAGCCTATAAACAAAAACTCAGAAATGAGTCTATGCAGGCTAGCAAATGAGCCTTTAAACAAAAACTCAGAAATGAGTCTATGCAGGCTAGCAAATGAGCCTGTAAACAAAAACTCAGAAATGAGTCTATGCAGGCTAGCAAATGAGCCTATAAACAAAAACTCAGAAATGAGTCTATGCAGGCTAGCAAATGAGCCTATAAACAAAAACTCAGAAATGAGTCTATGCAGGCTAGCAAATGAGCCTATAAACAAAAACTCAGAAATGAGTCTATGCAGGCTACCAAATGAGCCTGTAAACAAACTAAAAATGAGTACTCAGGCTAGCAAATGAGCCTATAAATAACTAAGAAATGAGTCTATGCAGGCTAGCAAATGAGCCTATAAACAAAAACTCAGAAATGAGTCTATGCAGGCTAGCAAATGAGCCTATAAACAAACACTATGAAATGAGTCTATGCAGGCTAGCAAATAAGCCTATAAACAAAAACTAAAATATGAGTCTATGCAAGCTAGCAAATGAGCCTGTAAACAAAGACTAAAACAATGAGCCTGATCAGCCTAGCAAATGAGCCTATGGTTATAATCATAACCATAATTTACAAAGAGGTGGACTGGTAAGCCAGTGGAAGGCCTAGGTCAGATGACCAAAAGCTCGAGATGTAGACCATTATATGACTAAGACCCGCCTCAGGAAATACTTGTCCTGTTTCCTGACAAACCTTACCAGTTATAAACCAGCGGAAAATATTCATGTCCAAGTGCAGGTAATGCTGTCTTTGTGAACTCATGAATAAATACAAATAATTTATTATATAATGTAGGCTACATGTAATAAAATATTGTTAGGTACTAAAGAAAGCCACCAGCATGCAGGGCATCGGGCAGCACTCTACATGATCAACACAAGTTTAATACGTGTTTAATAATAATAATAATAATAATTAGCTATTAAAACATTGGGCCCAGTCCCTGGACCCTACTATGTGTTTCTGTAATCTTAAAATTCCGAACCGCATAATACATCTATTGAGCCAACTAAAGGAACTGAACCTTGTAACTAGTAAAACTGAGAATCAAGGGAGATATTATTACGACGCAGAAGATGCTCAGAACACTGGATAAAGTAGACAAATTGAAAGATGGGGGACCTGGACATAGATGGAAGATAAAATGAGCCTAGATGTCAGCAAATATTTCTTCACTATGAGGGTGGTTAGAAAATGGAACTACATGAAGGAAGGCTCCATACACAGTTTTAAGAGTAGGTGTAACAAACACAGAAGGCAGACCAGAGATTATGTGTGATTATGAGTGTCCATATGGTACTTCGCCTTTCTGAAGTCTTCCGGTTCACAAGTAAGTTTATTAAGGTACATATAAACAAATAGTTACATAAATTATCACATATATAGCAGCCTATGTGTAAATTACCTGGATAACCCTCCCCCCCAAAAAAAATCAAAAGTGATTTATTTCATTACCATATTTGACCTACGTGGTAGAAGAGGAGAGGAAAACCATCCTACGTGATGGAATAGGAGAGGAAAACCATCCTACGTGATGGAATAGGAGAGGAAAACCATCCTACGTGATGGAATAGGAGAGGAAAACAATCCTGCGTGATGGAACAGGAGAAGAAAACCATCCTACATGGAATAGGAGAGGAAAACAATCCTACGTGATGGAATAGGAGGAAAACCATCCTACGTGATGGAATAGGAGAGGAAAACCATCCTACATGATGGAATAGGAGAGGAAAACAATCCTGCGTGATGGAACAGAAGAAAACCATCCTACGTGATGGAATAGGAGAGGAAAACAATCCTACATGATGGAATAGGAGGAAAACCATCCTACGTGATGGAATAGGAGAGGAAAACCATCCTACGTGATGGAATAGAAGAGGAAAACCATCCTACATGATGGAATAGGAGAGGAAAACCATCCTACATGATAGAATAGGAGAGGAAAACCATCCTACATGATGGAATAGGAGAGGAAAACCATCCTACATGATGGAATAGGAGGAAAACCATCCTACGTGATGGAATAGGAGAAGAAAACCATCCTACATGATGGAATATGAGAGGAAAACAATCCTACATGATGGAATAGGAGGAAAACCATCCTACGTGATGGAATAGGAGAGGAAAACCATCCTACGTGATGGAATAGGAGAAGAAAACCATCCTACATGATGGAATAGGAGAGGAAAACCATCCTATGTGATGGAATAGGAGAGGAAAACCATCCTACGTGATGGAATAGGAGAAGAAAACCATCCTACATGATGGAATAGGAGAGGAAAACCATCCTACGTGATGGAATAGGAGAGGAAAACCATCCTACATGATGGAATAGGAGAAGAAAACCATCCTACATGATGGGTGTGTCAAGATATACACAGTGCTTGTTCTAACCTTGTGAAACATCACATAGCTCAGGTGTGTCAGTAGGTATCACTCACCTGCTGCTTCAGGGTCACCTAGTGAGATGATGTCATTATGTACCACTAGTTTTTTCCTCTCTGTGAGGGGAAAATAAGAATGGGCTTTCAGTTTAGTTTAATATGTTTATTATGCACCCCATACCCATCCTCAATGAATGGGCTTTCATTACAGTGTTTTCATAAAACAGTAATCAACCTGTAATCATGTAAAGCTGTTCAATGTAACTATTCTAATAAATAAACATTTGTATTTCCTTTGTATATAGTAAATATTTTAGCAAAGTACAGAGAAAAAATGGAGCTATGGGAAAAAGAGAAAATGAGTACATTTTTCCCTTGGGTTGGTTAGTAAGAGTCCACATGGTAAATTTTGGGTTTTATATATCTAAGCTTGTTGCGGTTAAATGGGAAATTCGACAAATCAGGAATAAAAGAATACATGGCTGCTCATTTATATATAAATGTTGGTGCGAACGCGTGCTAATTGAAATGAAATTTAAAGAAAACATAGGTAATAATACTTCATAATGGTATATATCAGAGAATAATAATAACAATGAAAAGATGAAGAAGAAATGCTGTTATCTACGGAGGTCCCTTCCAGGGAGGAAGCTGGAGGTCCCTTCCAGGGAGGAAGCTGGAGGTCCCTTCCAGGGAGGAAGCTGGAGGTCCCTTCCAGGGAGGAAGCTGGAGGTCCCTTCCAGGGAGGAAGCTGGAGGTCCCTTCCAGGGAGGAAGCTGGAGGTCCCTTCCAGGGAGGAAGCTGGAGGTCTCTTCCAGGGAGGAAGCTGGAGGTCCCTTCCAGGGAGGAAGCTGGAGGTCCCTTCCAGGGAGGAAGCTGGAGGTCCCTTCCAGGGAGGAAGCTGGAGGTCCCTTCCAGGGAGGAAGCTGGAGGTCCCTTCCAGGGAGTAAGCTGGAGGTCCCTTCCAGGGAGGAAGCTGGAGGTCCCTTCCAGGGAGGAAGCTGGAGGTCCCTTCCAGGGAGGAAGCTGGAGGTCCCTTCCAGGGAGGAAGCTGGAGGTCCCTTCCAGGGAGGAAGCTGGAGGTCCCTTCCAGGGAGGAAGCTGGAGGTCCCTTCCAGGGAGGAAGCTGGAGATACCTTCCAGGGAGGAAGCTGGAGGTCCCTTCCAGGGAGGAAGCTGGAGGTCCCTTCCAGGGAGGAAGCTGGAGGTCTCTTCCAGGGAAGAAGCTGGAGGTCCCTTCCAGGGAGGAAGCTGGAGGTCCCTTCCAGGGAGGAAGCTGGAGGTCCCTTCCAGGGAGGAAGCTGGAGGTCCCTTCCAGGGAGGAAGCTGGAGGTCCCTTCCAGGGAGGAAGCTGGAGGTCCCTTCCAGGGAGGAAGCTGGAGGTCCCTTCCAGGGAGGAAGCTGGAGGTCCCTTCCAGGGAGGAAGCTGGAGGTCCCTTCCAGGGAGGAAGCTGGAGGTCCCTTCCAGGAAGAAGCTGGAGGTCCCTTCCAGGGAGGAAGCTGGAGGTCCCTTCCAGGGAGGAAGCTGGAGGTCCCTTCCAGGGAGGAAGCTGGAGATACCTTCCAGGGAAGAAGCTGGAGGTCCCTTCCAGGGAGGAAGCTGGAGATACCTTCCAGGGAAGAAGCTGGAGGTCCCTTCCAGGGAGGAAGCTGGAGATACCTTCCAGGGAGGAAGCTGGAGATACCTTCCAGGGAGGAAGCTGGAGGTCCCTTCCAGGGAGGAAGCTGGAGATACCTTCCAGGGAGGAAGCTGGAGATACCTTCCAGGGAGGAAGCTGGAGGTCCCTTCCAGGGAAGAAGCTGGAGATACCTTCCAGGGAAGAAGATGGAGATACCTTCCAGGGAAGAAGCTGGAGGTCCCTTCCAGGGAGGAAGCTGGAGATACCTTCCAGGGAGGAAGCTGGAGATACCTTCCAGGGAGGAAGCTGGAGGTCCCTTCCAGGGAGGAAGCTGGAGGTCCCTTCCAGGAAGGAAGCTGGAGGTCCCTTCCAGGGAGGAAGCTGGAGATACCTTCCAGGGAGGAAGCTGGAGGTCCTTTCCAGGGAGGAAGCTGGAGGTCCCTTCCAGGGAGGAAGCTGGAGATCCCTTCCAGGGAGGAAGCTGGAGGTCCCTTCCAGGGAGGAAGCTGGAGGTCCCTTCCAGGGAGGAAGCTGGAGGTCCCTTCCAGGGAGGAAGCTGGAGATACCTTCCAGGGAGGAAGCTGGAGGTACCTTCCAGGGAGGAAGCTGGAGGTCCCTTCCAGGGAGGAAGCTGGAGATCCCTTCCAGGGGGGAAGCTGGAGATCCCTTCCAGGGGGGAAGCTGGAGGTCCCTTCCAGGGAGGAAGCTGGAGATACCGTCCAGGGAGGAAGCTGGAGGTCCCTTCCAGGGAGGAAGCTGGAGGTCCCTTCCAGGGAGGAAGCTGGAGGTCTCTTCCAGGGAGGAAGCTGGAGGTCCCTTCCAGGGAGGAAGCTGGAGGTCCCTTCCAGGGAGGAAGCTGGAGGTCCCTTCCAGGGAGGAAGCTGGAGGTCCCTTCCAGGGAGGAAGCTGGAGATACCTTCCAGGGAGGAAGCTGAAGATACCTTCCAGGGAGGAGGCTGGAGGTCCCTTCCAGGGAAGAGGCCGGAGGTCCTTTCCAGGGAGGAGGCTGGAGGTCCCTTCCAGGGAGGAGGCCGGAGGTCCCTTCCAGGGAGGAAGCTGGAGATACCATCCAGGGAGGAAGCTGGAGGTTCCTTCCATCGTCTTGATGCTATTAAGATGCATAGTATAAGTGGCTTTGGCATACTGCTCTTATCTGTATTTTTTTGTACCTCTGTATGTGTGCTCAAATTGTTAATAAATAAATAAGATAAGATTTTGTTGGGATTTTTAACCCCGGAGGGTTAGCCACCCAGGATAACCCAAGAAAGTCGGTGCGTCACAAGGAATTCCAACCAACCCTCCCTTACCTGGGGTCAAACCTGACGACCCTTTTCCCTCCCCTCCAGGTGCTGTATGACCCTAACGGGTTTAGCCTTTGCCCATAATAGCAACAGTATATGAAGGACAGGTGGTTGTTAAGTGGAGCCACCTGGTGGCAGCCTCACACACCACCTGGCACTAACACTGCCATCTAGTACCTCTAATCCTCTCACGTATTCCTTATTTTGTCCCATCTTGCAGAGTTTTAAGCATCATGGGTGTCATTAGGAAGCTGGTTAAGAGGACTCCAGTAATTAGCTTCAGTGAGGAGTCTGTTAACACGTAAGTTAACGTTTTTAGTCGTAACTTTTTGAGTGACCTTTTGAAGGTCTTGATATTGTCCTCTGTCCTATTTCATCCCCTCAAGGGAGGTTCCTTGATGCTGGTGAGGGGGCTCTTGATCCGAGGAATTGGATCTATGCTCCAGTTCCCTGAATTAAGCCTAAATGCTTTCCGTCTCCCACCAGACGCTGTATAATCCCTACGGGTTTAGCACTCCCCCATTATAATAATAATAAAGGCCTATTTAATAGTTTTTCACAATATAATGGGTGTTGTATATTAAAATGGGCCAGAAGTAATGTTATTAATGGCCGTGAGTTAGATGTTACACGAGTAAGAATTTATTGATCAATATTATGAGTTAAAAGTGATGCAGCTGGAGGGCTCTTGATCCAAGGAAGGCACCTACTCCCCCCTCACTCAAGCTTAATTAGCAGTCATTCCTTGGGTTCTGTTTGATCCTTGTGGGTTTAGCACATCCCTATGACTGATATAATAATGGTGGGTTGACCCGTATGGGTCTCGGTTTTTGGGGGTTATAAGTTTAGGTACATGTGGGTTTAGCGCTTAGTAATGATTATAATAATAATAATTAGGTACAAGTACACATAAGTACAGTTATCATACATAGTGTAAATTATTTAGGGTAACCCAAAAAAGTCAAAGTGGCTTATTTCCATTAGGGTCCTGAAAATATATAACCCTTGTGAATTTAGAGCTTCCCCATGGATATAGTAGCCAACCACTGTCAATACTTGGAATAATAATAATAAATATATTCTTTTCTGCAGTATACAGGTAATGTAATTTACATGTAATAAAATCAAGCCACTAGCATGCGATACATTTCATAGTAAATGAGTCGAGTATCTGGTAAATTCACCGAAAACCCAAGTTGTCGAAGTTGTCCAGGCGGCAGACTCGGTGAATTGGTGAACAATAACCACGAGTTACTTAACTTGCGTTTTAGGTTAAGTTAGGTTAGCACTTTAAGGGAGGTTCCTTAGTGCCAGTGAGGGGGTTTTTGATGCAAGGAAGTGGAGATGTGCTCCCTTGGATTGAAGCTGATTATCTCTCAGTCCTTGGGATTTATGACCCCTATGAGTTTAGTGCTTTCTCTCCAAAAATGTATAATATGTTAGGTTCTGTAAATGATATTAGGTTAGTTCTAGCCATTAATTTTACAGAATTTATATAGAAAAAAATTCACCAGTAAGTGAATATTAGACACTCCTGACTGAACGAGGTATACCCTCTAGGTAAAGCCTCCGGGTATACCTCTAGATATACCTCTAGGTATACCCTCCAGGTGTAGATCAATGACCTGGGAACATCAGTGAGATCACTGGCATCCATGAATGATGGTGAATGTATTTCCTCTTTTTTTTTTGTCGCCCTGCTTTTGTAAGAAATGGTACATAGTTAAACTGTACATGTATATGGTATAGTACATAAAAATACCGAAACGTTTTCTCTCTATAATAAATATGTCCTAGTGTTTGCTCATGTGTCTTTTTAAATCAATGAAGTATTGTACCATATATAGACAGTAAGAGTTTTTGTATGCTTTATACAGATTAGGAATCAGCCAGCCAGCTACACCACCATCAGAGCCAGAGTCCATAGATAGTGAGCCTCCAGTGTTTGTTCCTCGTCGTCGTGATCCACGACAGCTTTTTCAGCGCCTGGAATACCATCATCAGAATGTGCATGCTGGAGCAAGAAAGACTAGAAGATCTAATAACAGTGAGTTTGTGTGGATTCTGTGCAGTGTGATAGATTTTGCAAAATAAGGTAAGTTTGCCATTTTTCCATTTATTTTTTTTTTTGTCTGTGACCTGTATTCTGATCTTTTTGTAGAAATGTTTATAGCTGTCCTTCTTAGAGCTGGAATTTACACAAAAATAGTCTACAGAAATTATTGTGACATGTGATGTGATATTTAGATATGTGAATGTGAAATTTTAGTTTATCTTGAATTGAGATTTTTATGTATAAATTTTAAATTGATAAGTATAAATTGTGGCTGGGTTGGACAAGCCTATATTCAGAATTTTTGGCAGGGTGCATTATTCTGGCACCCTATGTACTGTATTAGAAGGGTGTCTCCTTCCATAAATAGGATATAATTATTTAAAAAAATTTATATTTTTTTGAGGTACTACTGATCTGTCAGATGAGTGTGAAATTGAAATTTGTTTGCATTCAGGCAGGATTGCTGATCTTTTTTTCTCTCTCATGAATATGTATGATGACAGGTAAATTGTATAAACTTCTACTCACATTCAATATACACATATCTTTATTTTATTTTATTTTTTTTTATTATCACACCGGCCGATTCCCACCAAGGCAGGGTGGCCCGAAAAAGAAAAACTTTCACCATCATTCACTCCATCACTGTCTTGCCAGAAGGGTGCTTTACACTACAGTTTTTAAACTGCAACATTAACACCCCTCCTTCAGAGTGCAGGCACTGTACTTCCCATCTCCAGGACTCAAGTCCGGCCTGCCGGTTTCCCTGAATCCCTTCATAAATGTTACTTTGCTCACACTCCAACAGCACGTCAAGTATTAAAAACCATTTGTCTCCATTCACTCCTATCAAACACGCTCACGCATGCCTGCTGGAAGTCCAAGCCCCTCGCACACAAAACCTCCTTTACCCCCCCCCTCCAAACCCTTCCTAGGCCGACCCTACCCCGCCTTCCTTCCACTACAGACTGATACACTCTTGAAGTCATTCTGTTTCGCTCCATTCTCTCTACATGTCCGAACCACCTCAACAACCCTTCCTCAGCCCTCTGGACAACAGTTTTGGTAATCCCGCACCTCCTCCTAACTTCCAAACTACGAATTCTCTGCATTATATTCACACCACACATTGCCCTCAGACATGACATCTCCACTGCCTCCAGCCTTCTCCTCGCTGCAACATTCATCACCCACGCTTCACACCCATATAAGAGCGTTGGTAAAACTATACTCTCATACATTCCCCTCTTTGCCTCCAAGGACAAAGTTCTTTGTCTCCACAGACTCCTAAGTGCACCACTCACTCTTTTTCCCTCATCAATTCTATGATTCACCTCATCTTTCATAGACCCATCTGCTGACACGTCCACTCCCAAATATCTGAATACGTTCACCTCCTCCATACTCTCTCCCTCCAATCTGATATTCAATCTTTCATCACCTAATCTTTTTGTTATCCTCATAACCTTACTCTTTCCTGTATTCACCTTTAATTTTCTTCTTTTGCACACCCTACCAAATTCATCCACCAATCTCTGCAACTTCTCTTCAGAATCTCCCAAGAGCACAGTGTCATCAGCAAAGAGCAGCTGTGACAACTCCCACTTTGTGTGTGATTCTTTATCTTTTAACTCCACGCCTCTTGCCAAGACCCTCGCATTTACTTCTCTTACAACCCCATCTATAAATATATTAAACAACCACGGTGACATCACACATCCTTGTCTAAGGCCTACTTTTACTGGGAAAAAATTTCCCCCTTTCCTACATACTCTAACTTGAGCCTCACTATCCTCGTAAAAACTCTTCGCTGCTTTCAGTTTAAACCCACCTCCTACACCATACACTTGCAACATCTGCCACATTGCCCCCCTATCCACCCTGTCATACGCCTTTTCCAAATCCATAAATGCCACAAAGACCTCTTTAGCCTTATCTAAATACTGTTCACTTATATGTTTCACTGTAAACACCTGGTCCACACACCCCCTACCTTTCCTAAAGCCTCCTTGTTCATCTGCTATCCTATTCTCCGTCTTACTCTTAATTCTTTCAATTATAACTCTACCATACACTTTACCCGGTACACTCAACAGACTTATCCCCCTATAATTTTTTTCACTCTCTTTTATCCCCTTTGCCTTTATACAAAGGAAACTATGCATGCTCTCTGCCAATCCCTAGGTACCTTACCTTCTTCCATACATTTATTAAATAATTGCACCAAACCACTCCAAAACTATATCCCACCTGCTTTTAACATTTCTATCTTTATCCCATCAATCCCGGCTGCCTTACCCCCTTTCATTTTACCTACTGCCTCACGAACTTCCCCCACACTCACAACTGGCTCTTCCTCACTCCTACAAGATGTTATTCCTCCTTGCCCTATACACGAAATCACAGCTTCCCTATCTTCATCAACATTTAACAATTCCTCAAAATATTCCTTCCATCTTCCCAATACCTCTAACTCTCCATTTAATAACTCTCCTCTCCTATTTTTAACTGACAAATCCATTTGTTCTCTAGGCTTTCTTAACTTGTTAATCTCACTCCAAAACTTTTTCTTATTTTCAACAAAATTTGTTGATAACATCTCACCCACTCTCTCATTTGCTCTCTTTTTACATTGCTTCACCACTCTCTTAAAATTCTCTCTTTTTCTCCATATACTCTTCCCTCCCTTTCATCACTTCTACTTTGTAAAAACTTCTCATATGCTAACTTTTTCTCCCTTACTACTCTCTTTACATCATCATTCCACCAATCGCTCCTCTTCCCTCCTGCACCCACTTTCCTGTAACCACAAACTTCTGCTGAACACTCTAAACACTACATTTTTAAACCTACCCCATACCTCTTCGACCCCATTGCCTATGCTCTCATTAGCCCATCTATCCTCCAATAGCTGTTTATATCTTACCCTAACTGCCTCCTCTTTTAGTTTATAAACCTTCACCTCTCTCTTCCCTGATGCTTCTATTCTCCTTGTATCCCATCTACCTTTTACTCTCAGTGTAGCTACAAACTAGAAAGTGATCTGATATATCTGTGGCCCCTCTATAAACATGTACATCCTGAAGTCTACTCAACAGTCTTTTATCTACCAATACATAATCCAACAAACTACTGTCATTTCGCCCTACATCATATCGTGTATACTTATTTATCCTCTTTTTCTTAAAATATGTATTACCTATAACTAAACCCCTTTCTATACAAAGTTCAATCAAAGGGCTCCCATTATCATTTACACCTGGCACCCCAACATTACCTACCACAACCCTCTCTAAAAGTTTCTCCTACTTTAGCATTCAAGTCCCCTACCACAATTACTCTCTCACTTGTTCAAAGGCTCCTATACATTCACTTAACATCTCCCAAAATCTCTCTCTCTCCTCTGCATTCCTCTCTTCTCCAGGTGCATACACGCTTATTATGACCCACTTCTCGCATCCAACCTTTACTTTAATCCACATAATTCTTGAATTTACACATTCATATTCTCTTTTCTCCTTCCATAACTGATCATTTAACATTACTGCTACCCCTTCCTTTGCTCTAACTCTCTCAGATACTCCAGATTTAATCCCATTTATTTCCCCCCATTTGAAACTCTCCTACCCCCTTCACTTTGTTTTCGCTTGGGGCCCGGGAAACATCCAAAACTTTTTTTTCCCATTAAAAAACATCAGCAATCTTTTTTTGTCATCCCACAAACATCCACCACTTTTAAAAGAAACCCCATTTTTTAATAAAGTTTTTCTTTTCCCTTTCTTTCTCCTTTATTTTATGTGCTTCTTAATAGCTTTTAAAACCCTTTGAAAGTATTGCCACCCAAACCTAGGAACCCCGGGGTGTGGACCAGGCTGTGGGGAAAAGTTTACCCTTTTAAAAACCGTAACAGATAACCACCCAGGTTTTTCCCTCCCCAAATTTTTTTTACCCATGAGTTACGGGTTTCCCCATAGGAAGATTATTTTTAAATACATGTACTTTATTGTGTAAATATACACGGGGAAATAGGTTAGTAAGTGGGCAACCATGGAGGGGGGAACATTTATTCCCTTTCCGACCGGGGAGTTTAGAAGAAGAGTTTTGGCAATATAAAACATTCTGGGTAGAATTATGGTTTTTCTTTGTATCTTGACATGGAAAAATAACAGGTAATCTCGTAAAATTTTATTTCCCGTTAGTAATGGCTACCTAGCATTTTTAAACCCCGGGTCGGGTTATTACTTTTTTTTTTTTTTCCTATAAAAATTTCCTTTCTAATTTATGAGACCTGAAATTTGATTACTAAAAAAAATTTAAGAAGAAAAAAAATTGTAAAGGGGGAAAAGTCGGGAATTGCATGGTGTTGTGCAAATGATAAAAAAAGAGAGGGATTGTGGATGTTATAAATTGAAAAAAAAAAAACCTGGATGTCCGGGTTTTAAGTGAAAAAAAGCTAAAGGGGGGTGGGAGATTTTTCAATGGGAGAAATAAATGGGATTATTTCAGGGTTTCAAATAGGTTAAAGCAAAAGAAGGAGTAGCAATAATGTTGAAGGAAAAGCATGACGGGAAAAGAGGGACTAAAAAATGAAAAATTTTTCCCAAGGTTTTATGTGGAGAAAAAATAAAGATTGGTTTGTAAAAAAAGTGGGTTATAATAAGCATGAAATGCACCTGGAAAAAAGAGAGAATGTGAGGAGGGGAGAGAGATTCGGGGAAATTTTTAGGGGAATGAAAGGGGAGTTTTGAACCCAAGTGTAAAGGTAAGGGTGGGGGGGATTTCAATCCCAAAAGGGGGGTTTAAAAATTTTTATGGAGGGAGTAGTGGGTTTAAATTTTTGGGGTCCCGGGGGTAAATGAAAATTGGGGGGGGTTTTAAATTTGAGCTAGTGTAAAAAGAAATTTGGAAAATAAGAAAATACTTATTTTATAAAAAGGGAAAAATTTAAATATCCCGGGGTTAGGGATGTACCCACGTAATAAAAATTATTTGTTAGTTTATGTTTTGGTTGGGAAAAAAGGTTGAGGGGTTTGGGCTCCAGGATGTACATTTTTTATAGGGGGGCCCAACTGATATATCGGGTCATTAAATTTTGTTTTTGTACCGTTTTGAAATAACAGGTAGATGGGAAAAGAGGAAAGGGGGCAACAACATGTAAGAGGGGGGGTGAAAGTGTATAAACTAAGGGAGGAATTTCGGGCGAGATATAAGCGACTATTTTCAAAAGGGGGGCTAGTGCAAAGGGTTGGGGTGGGGGGGGGGTTGAAGAGGGTTGGAATAGTTTTTTTAAAAAAGGCAGTATTAAATGTGGGGCAGAAATTTGTGGTTTAGGAGGGTGGGGGCAGGGGGGAAAGAGGAGTGGGTTGGTTTGGGAAAGATGAAGTAAAAAGGGTGTGATTAAAAAAGAAAAAAGGTTTGCTTACGGGAGGTTTTTACAAAGCAGGGAAATGTTTATAAGAAGAGGGAGAGTATATGGAGAGTAAAAGGGAAAAGGGGAAGAGAATTGGGGAGAGAGTTTCAAAAGGAGGAAAATGAAAGATTTGGGGGAGGCCTGTCTAGAAAATTTAAAGAAAAAAGGGAAAAAAATTTTGGGGGTGAGTTAAACAAGTTAAAAAAAAGCCTAGGGAAAATATGGATTTTCAGTTAAAAAAAAAGAGTTTTTGGGGGGAAATTAGTAGTGGGGGGAGGAGGTATTGGTAGATGGGGAAGAATATTTTTAGGAACTTTTAAAGTTGAGGAAAAAAGGGAGGCGGTAATTTCATGCACCCGGCCAGGGAGGTTCCAAACTTTTTTGGGGTGAAGAAGAGGGAGAACGTAAGTTGGTGGAGGTACGTGAGGCATTACATAGAATTTAAAAGGGGGGGGGAAAGCAAATGGGGAAATGAAGGGGTCATGACAGAAATGTTAAAAGCAGGGGGGGATATAGTGTTGGAGTGGTTGGTACTTTTGTTTAATAAATGTATGAAAGAGCGGAAGGTCCCTAGGGATTGGCAGAGAGCATGTATAGCCCCCTTTTAAATATAAAGGGAATGGGGACAAAAGAGATTGTAAAATTATAGAGGAATAAGTTTACTAAGTATACCAGGAAAAGTATACGGTTAGAGTTTAATTAAAAGAATTAGAGGTAAGACAGAATGTAGAATTGCGGATGAGCAAGGAGGCTTCAGAGTGGGTAGGGGATGTGTAGATCAAGTGTTTACATTGAAGCATATATGTGAACAGTTTTTTAGATAAAGGTAGGGAAAAGTTTTTATTGCATTTATGGATTTAGAAAAGGCATATGATAGAGTGGATAGAGGAGCAATGTGCAGATGTTGCAAGTATATGGAATAGGTGGTAAGTTACTAATGCTGTAAAGAGCTTTTATGAGGATAGTGAGGCTCAGGTTAGGGTATGTAGAAGAGAGGGAGAATACTTCCGGTAAAAGTAGGTCTTAGACAGGGATGTGTAATGTCACCATGGTTGTTTAATATTTTATAGATGGGGTTGTAAAAGAAGTAAATGCTAGGGTGTTCGGGAGAGGGGTGGGATTAAATTATGGGAGAATCAAATTCAAAATGGGAATTGACACAGTTACTTTTTGCTGATGATACTGTGCTTATGGGAGATTCTAAAGAAAAATTGCAAAGTTAGTGGATGAGTTTGAGAATGTGTGTGAAGGTAGAAAGTGAAAGTGAACATAGAAAAGAGTAAGGTGATGAGGGTATCAAATGATTTAGATAAAGAAAAATTGGATATCAAATTGGGGAGGAGGAGTATGGAAGAAGTGAATGTTTTCAGATACTTGGGAGTTGACGTGTCGGCGGATGGATTTATGAAGGATGAGGTTAATCATAGAATTGTGAGGGAAAAAAGGTGAGTGGTGCGTTGAGGTATATGTGGAGTCAAAAACGTTATCTATGGAGGCAAAGAAGGGAATGTATGAAAGTATAGTAGTACCAACACTCTTATATGGATGTGAAGCCTGGGTGGTAAATGCAGCAGCGAGGAGACGGTTGGAGGCAGTGGAGATGTCCTGTTTAAGGGCAATGTATTGGTGTAAATATTATGCAGAAAATTCGGAGTGTGGAAATTAGGAGAAGGTGTGGAGTTAATAAAAGCATTAGTCAGAGGGCAGAAGAGGGGTTGTTGAGGTGGTTTGGTCATTTAGAGAGAATGGATCAAATGTAGAATGACATGGAAAGCATATAAATCTATAGGGAAGGAAAGAGGGGTAGGGGTCATCCTCGAAAGGGTTGGAAAGAGGGGGTAAAGGAGGTTTTGTGGGCGAGGGGCTTGGACTTCCAGCAAGTGTGCATGAGGGTTAATAGGAGTGAATGGAGACGAATGATACTTGGGACCTGCGATCGTTGGAGGTGAGCAGGGTAATATTTAGTGAGGGATTCGGGAAAACCCAGTTATTTCATATAGTCGGCTTGAGTCGGGAAAAAAGGGGAAGTAGTACACTGCCTCACTTTAAAGGGAGGGGTTTTTGGATATTGAAGTTTGGAGGGAAGTTGTGTTTTTAAACGTTATGTTCTAAACTGTTGTATTTGAGACTTTTGCAAAAGCAGTGATAATGGTGAGTGTGGTGAAAGTGTTGAATGTGAAAAAGTTTTTCTTTTTGGGGTTTTTTCTTTCTTTTTTGGGTCACCCTGCCCGGTGGGGGCAACCGACTTGTTAAAAAAAAAAAAAAAAAATCTATTATCATATACGTATTTAAATTATAAAAACTCAAAGATGCCTTTGTGGGGGGAAAGGGGTGGGAAAAAAAGTGCTTTTTATTGTTACACTAAAGAAACTATAATAGTAAAAACTTGAAAGCAAAAAAAAGCGAAATGTATAATATGTATTTTGGCAAAAAAGTTTGTTGTGATTTTCCCTTATTGGTTTGGGTTTTTTTTGGTATGTTCTGTACAAAGCACTCTGTTGGTAGTTACTGCTCGTTTGTGTATTTTGTGATGTGTTATTGTTCAATACCAAAAAACCCACAGGAGAAAAAGCTTATGCGATGTTTCGGTCTGACTTAGCCATTTCAAGTGACTAAAGTTGGGCCAAAATTGGACCAAAAAAGTCATGTTTTCTTCTCCCATGTGTAGGTTATTTGTGTATTGTTCCCGTCTGGTATTGTGCCCTTTTGTTCTTTTGAAAAAATGTTTATTAAAATGCAAAAAAATGTTAAGAATTTTATTTTTTAGTTTTTTGCATTTGGGCTTTTGACAGTCAAACCTTTCAGCACTTCTGGGGATGAGTTTGAGGGGAAAATCAGGGCTTAGCATTTTGACTTAAAAACCAGATCCATAGGCTTTACAGAGCTCCCACTGATTACAACAATATGCGGGGGGAATTACTTTTATTATGCTATTATTGTTATTGATGCTAATAAAAGGCGCTTGACCTCCGGGGAATTTGGGTTGTTTCTTTCCTTTGATTAAAGATTCCTTTTTTTCAGCCTCAGTATTACCCCCACAAGTTTAGGTTTTTTAAAAAAATAAAAATAAAAAAAAAAATTTTAATATAATAAAATTTTAAAAATAAAAATAAAAATAATTATAATAATTAAAGGGTTTTTAAAAGCACTTTAAGGGGGGTTCCTTAGGCCAGTAAAGGGGGGTTTTTGATGCAAGGAAGTGGAGATGTGTCCTTGGATTGAAGTGATTATCTCTCAGCCCTTTGGGGATTTATGACCCCTAGGAGTTTAGTGCTTTCTCCCCCAAAAATGTTTTAATTTATGTTAGGTTTTTAAAAGATTTTAAAGGTTAGTTCAAAGGCCTTTAAAATTTTAAAAAGAATTTATATAGAAAAAATTAAACCATAAGTAAAATATTAACACTCCTGCTGAACGGGGTTTTTCCCCTTTCGGGAAAGCCTCCGGGAAATCCCTTTTAGATATCCCTTTCTGGGTAAAAACCCTTTCCGGGTGTAGATCAATGACCTGGGAACTAAAGTGAGATCACTGGCACCCAGGGAATGAGGGTGAATGTATTTCCTCTTTTTTTTTTGTCCCCCGGGGTTTTGTAAGAAAGGGTACATAGTTAAACTGTAAAATGTATTTGGTATAGAAAAAAAAATTTACCAAAATTTTTCTCTCTTAATAAATATTCCTATGTTTGCTCATGTTTTTTTTTAAAATCAAAAGGGTTTTTAAACCTTTTATAGACAGTAAGATTTTTTGTATGTTTTTTACAGATTGGGAATCAGCCAGAAAGCACCCCACACGAGCCGATTTCCATAGTAGTGAGCCTCCAGTGTTTTTTTCCTTTCGTGTCGGTCCACGACAGTTTTTTTAAAGCCCTGGAAAAAACCATCATCAAATGTGCATGCTGGAGAAAAAAGACTGAAAAATCTAAAACAGGGGTTTTTGTGTGGATTCTGTGCAGTGTGATAGATTTTGCAAAAAAGGTAGTTTGCCTTTTTCATTTTTTTTTTTTTTTTTGGTCTGTGCCTGTTTTCCTGATCTTTTTGTAGAAATTTTTTATAGTTTGTCCTTTTTTAAGCGGGAATTTTACAAAAAAAAGTTTTACAAAAATTTATTGTGCCCGGGTGATGTGATTTTTAGTTTATGTAAGTGAAATTTTATTTTTATCTTGAAATTGAGATTTTTTTAAATTAAAAATTTTAAATTGAAAGAAAAAATTGTGGGGGGGTTGGACAAGCCCAAAATTCAAATTTTTTGGCAGGGGGCAATTTGGAAACCCTATGTACTGTTTGGGAAGGGTGTCCCCTTTCCCATAAATAGGATTTTAATTTTTTTAAAAAAAATTTTATATTTTTTGGGAGGTATTTATGACCCTGTCGGTTTGAGTGTGAAATTGAAATTTTTTTGCATTCGGGCAGGTTGCTGATCTTTTTTTCTTTCCCCCATGAAAAATGTAGGATGCCCGGTAAATTTTTTAAAAAACTTCTACTCACATTAAATTTTATACAATATTTTTATTTTATTTTATTTTTTTTTATTATCACACCGGCCGTTTTCCCCCACCAAGGCAGGGGGGCCCGAAAAAAAAAAAAACTTTCCCCATAAATTCAACCCATCACTGTTTTGGCCAAAGGGTGTTTTAAAACATTTCATTTTTTTAAACGGGCAAATTAAAAAACCCCCCCTTCAGGGGGGCACACTGTACTTCCCCATCTCCAGGCCCTCAACCCCGGCCCCTCCCGGGTTTTTTCCCTGAATCCCCTTCAAAAATTGTTCTTGCTCACACTCCAACAGCACGTCAAGTATTAAAAACCCATTTGTCCCCATTCACATCCTATCAAACACGCTCCGCATGCCTGCGGAATTTCCAAGCCCCCCACAAAAAAACCTTCCCTTTACCCCTCCCCCCAAAACCCTTTTTTGGGCCGCCCCCACCCCCCCTTCCTTCCACTAAGCTGATACCTCTTAAAGCCATTCTGTTTCGCTCCCATTCTCTAACATGTGAACCCCCCAAAACCCAACCCTTCCTAAAGCCCTCTGGACAACAGTTTTTGGTAATCCCGCCCCTTTCCCCCTAATTTCCCAAAAATCCCGAATTTTTCTAAATTATTTTCCCCACCACACTTTGGCCCTCAGAATAAACATCTCCACTGCCCCCCAGCCTTTCCTCCTGCAACATTAAACCCCCCAACGTTTTCACACCCATATAAGGGGTTGGTAAAAAAATACTCCTTCCCATTCCCCTTTTTTGCCTCCAAGGGAAAAAGTTCTTTGTTCCCCACAGACTCCTAATTGAAACCCAAACTCACTCTTTTTCCCTCTTCAATTCTTGATTCACCTCATCTTTCATAGCCCCCACCCTGCTGACCGATCCACCCCCAAAAATCGGGAATACTTCACCTCCTCCATACTCTCCCCCTCCTTTTCTGATATTCAATCTTTCATCACCTAATTTTTTTTGGTTTTTCCTCAAAACCTTACTTTTTCCCCGAAATTCCCCCTTTAATTTTTTCTTTTGCACACCCTCCCAAAATTCCCCCACCAATCTCTGAAACTTCTCTCAGAATCCCCCAAGAGAAAAAGTGTCATCGCAAAAGAGCAGCTGGGGAAACTCCCACTTTGTGTGGGGATTCTTTATTTTTTTAACTCCCGCCTTTTCCCAAAAGGGAACCCTCGCTTTTACTTCTCTTAAACCCCATCTAAAAATAATTAAACAACCACGGTGACATCCACCCCTTTGTTAAGGCCTATTTTTAACTGGGAAAAAAATTTTCCCTTTCTTTTCCAAAACATACTCTAATTGAGTTTCACTATCCTGGGTTAAAAAACCTTGGGCTGCTTTCGTAACCCCCTTCCTACCCCCATACATTGAAACTCTCCCACATTCCCCCCCTTTATCCCCCCTGTCTTTCCCTTTCCAAAACCCATAATGCCCCCCGATCTTTACCCCTTATCAAAATCTGTTCACTTATAGTTTCACTGAAAAACCCTGGTCCCACACCCCCTACCTTTTCCAAAAGCCTCCTTGTTCACTGCTATCCTATTTTTCCGTCTTATTTTCTTAATTTTTTTTTAAATTTATAACTCACCAAAACATTTCCCGGGAAACATCAACAGATTTACCCCCCTATAATTTTTGCACTCTTTTTCCCCCCTTTGCCTTTTTTAAAAAGGGAAACCCAAGCATGCCCCGGGCCAAATCCCTAGGTACCTTACCTTTTTCCCCTTACATTTTTTAAAATTTTTTTCCCAACCAAAACCATTTCCAAAACTTTTATCCCCTTGCTTTTAACTTTTCCCTATTTTATCCCATAAACCCCCGGGCTCCCCTTCCCCCCTTTAATTTTCCTACTCCCTCACAAACCCTTCCCCCACACTCAAAATGGCTCTTCCTCACTCCTACAAGATTTTAATTCCCCCTTCCCCTTTTAACACGAAATCACGGGTTCCCTATCTTCATCAACTTTTTAAAAATTTCCCTAAAAATTTTCCCTTCCCATTTTCCCCAATACCTCAAACTCTCCTTTTAATAACTTCCCTCTCCTTTTTTTAAAATGACAAACCCTTTTGGGTTTTTTAAGGTTTTTTAAAACTTGTTAATCTCACCCCAAAAATTTTTTTTATTTTAAACCCAAAAATTTGTTGAAAAATTTCCCCACTCTTCTTTTTTGCTCTTTTTTTACATTGTTTCACCATTTTTAAAATTTTCTCCTTTTTTTTTCCCTATCCCTCTTCCCCCCTTGAAATTCCTTTTTACTTTGAAAAAACTTTCATATCCCTAACTTTTTCTCCTTACTACTCCCCTTTACATCCCCTTCCACCAATCGCCCCTCTTCCCCCTGAAACCCATTTTCCCCTGAAAACCCCACAAACTTCTGTTTGAAACTCAAACACTACTTTTTTTAAACCCCCCCCAAATCCCTCTTCGCCCCCCAAATTGCCTATGCTCTCTTTACCCCATCTATCCCCCAAATTAGCTGTTTAAAACTTACCCTAACTGCCTCCTTTTTAGTTTAAAAAAACCTTCACCCTCTCTTCCCTGATGTTTTCTTTTCCCTCCTTGTATATCTCCTTTTTTACTCTCATTGTAGTTTTACAACTAGAAGGGGTCTGTTATATCTGGGGCCCCCTCTATAAAATGTACTTTCCTAAAGTTTTACAAAACAGTTTTTTAAATCTACCAATACAAATCCAACAAATTGGGGGTCTTTTCCCCCCTAAAATCTTTATTGTAATTATTTACCCCTTTTTTTTTAAAAATTTTGTTTACCTATAACAAAACCCCCTTTCTTTCAAAGGGTTCAATAAAAAAGGGCTCCATTTCTTTTTTACCCCGGGGCCCCCCAAACTTACCACCACACCTCTCAAAAAGGTTTCCCCTACTTTGGGCTTCAAGCCCCCTACCACAATTACTCCTCATTTGGTTAAAAAGGCCCCCTATACTTTCCCACTTAACATCCCCCAAAAATTTTTCTCTCTCCTCTGCATTCCCTCTTCTCCGGTGCATACACGCTTATTATAAAACCCATTTCTCGCACCCAAACCCCCTTTATTTTAATCCACATTTTTCCTTAAAATTTACACATTCATATTCTTTTTTTCCCCTTTCCCAAAACTGATCTTTTAACATTTACTGCCCCCCCTTTCCTTTGCCTAACTCTCTCAGATACTCCAGTTTTAATCCCATTTTTTTCCCCCACTAAACTCCCTCCCCCCCTTCAGTTTTTGTTTTCGCTTGGGGGCCAGGAACCCAATTTCTTTTATTCAAAACATCAGAAATTCATCTTTTTTTGTCACCCCAACCTAAAATCCCCCGGCCTTTTTTAAGAAAACCCGTTTTATAAAGTTTTCCCTTCTTCCTCTCTTCTTCTTTATTTTTGTGTTTCTTAATAGTCTTAACCCTGTAGTATTGCCTTTCCCCAA